AAAAAAAAAAAAAAAAAAAAAAAAGAAAGAACGAAGCCAAGAGGCAAGAAGACAGTGAAGATTGCCAGAGTGCTGAGGATGATAAAAACATCTTTTCAATCTATACTTACTATAAGAAAACAGAAGAAATAGAGAAGCTGATGTTCTTTTAACAGATGACAGAAAAGAGAACTTGTCAACACCTACTTTGTTCCTATCTTCCACATCAAAGAGAATGATTTTCTAACTAGAAAGTGTTGAACTAACAAGATAACAGAAGGCGAGGTGAATGCATACATGACTAACTGTAATTACAGCTACACGTTTGACAAAGCTTCCCAACACACATTTACCAAAGAAATACCTAAACACAGGCCTGAAATACTTACACCTATGTAGATTCAAAACTGGCTGAACAACTGTTTCTAGTTGGGTTGGTTAAGGAAATAGTGTCAGCCTAGGGGACTAAAATGTTTTGCAAATAATACAAAGCAAAAACAGATAGACTGACAAACAAATTTTGTTTGGGCACGTAAAGAGCTTAGTTGCCAATCCGTCCTAAACAAGGAAAAAAAAAACTGAATAAACTGAAAAATGAACCATTCTTCTTAGATCCAACAGAGAAGTAAGATCATGTAAGGAGGGCAAGTCATGTCCCCCTAAATTGGAGGGAAAAAAGTCAACACAGAGAATTACAACTCAGTAGAAAAGAAACCTCCGAGCAGAATCTCCATAGAACCAGGGCCAGGATAGAAAAGCCGAGAGTGTAATTGACAGACTACAGTTGGAGTCTCATGTGGACAAGTGATACTTAAAAACTCCAGGGGGTCTCCATCATTGGGGGACCCTCACACTTTTGTGAGTTTTACTTCCAGGAACTCTACCTCATAGCAAATAAGAGAAAATATCCTCATGTTTCTACCAGGAGCCATAAGGAGCCATTTCAAATATATTAGAGCACTGGGTTCTTCTTGACAAGGTCTTCCCTCAGGAGAAACTGCTACCAGGTCCTGCAGAGGTTTTATCAGAGCCTTTTCTACTTAGGGTGAGGGAAAGACCCAACTCTAGCCCTCTCCAGCCGTCCTGTCCCATCTAAAGCTAAAGTTGGAGCAGAAGCAGGAGAGGTTGTGTAGCACTAGCAAGTTCACAGTTTGAAGACACTAAAGAAACATCAGAATTTTCAAACTTTTGAAGACATAAAAATCACCCAGGAACCTGCACGTAAAGTCTGATCTTGTACGTGTGTGTCTAAGGGTGGCACTTGAGAATCTGCATCTCTTAAATGTGCTCCAAGTGGTAAGAAAAGGAAGTATATTACCAGTACTGGCCTCTCTTCATCCACTAAATAATGAATGTATAGGCATTTTTTTATTGTTCTGGACATGAGCAATGTCTCTCTAAAAATTTTGCTTGTGATTATTTGATCTTTAGCAGCTTCAAAGTGTATGGTCATTTGTAAAAACCTTTCCTTTAAGATTCTAAAACAAAAAAGTTTTAAGCTTTGGTAATCTGGAAAATTTACTAGAATGGAATATTAAATCATTCTCTGATATCCCAGAGAAATGAGATGCTTTTCAAGGTGTGCTTAGAAAATTATTTTATGAAAAAAGTTGCTGAACTAGAGAATAATTGGACATAGTCTGTTTTGGGGGGTTTGGTTTTTGTTTTTTAACTAACAACTCAGGCAATGATACCTATGTCTGATACGATGACGTGTTAAATTGTTGGCTAAATCTTTGTTGGTTCATCAGATGAGAGCAATGAGTATAAAACATACTCTTCCTTAGTAGTTAGCCTTTGAAATTAATAAATCTACTATTCCAAAATTGGAGTTTTCCAACTTTAAAACGCTGTAAAAAATTGGATCAGTCTTCTAAGATGCTTGCAGAAGACGAGAAAGACAGAAGAGCAGGCGAAGGAGGAAAGTGAGAACTGAAAGGCAGGCCCAGCGCAGACTGAAGGACAGCTGAACGAATTTCCCTCGCCTGACCTAGTTCAGTAATAAGACAAATGGCTGGAAGAGTGATGGAGCTCTAGCTTGACAATGATGACTGACACAAGCTATCAACTAGGTCCTGCCAGAAATGCAAAAGGCCGTTACACTGCTTCCGTGCTCTGCTCAGAGCTCCGAGGTTTCTTGGCCAGCATATCCAGTGGAAACACTTACCATGATAATCCCCTTGTCCTGGTGGATTGGTTAGAATAATCTTCATGCAACTAAAAGGTGTATAGTCTGTCCTCTTGCCTTCCTTTCCAAAGCTATGACGGATGTTGTAAGAGTAACCTTTATCAAACTGATTGAGGGAAAAAGAAAGAAGAGACAAATCGTCAGCCAATGATTGTACTAGTGATGCCAGCTAGACACAGAGTGCACTGTGATGCTTTCTAGAATAAATTCAGCATTTACAGCTAGATGTGTACGCATCAAACACATCATTTGGGTCCTTTATGATACAAATAATTTTTTTAAGGTGCCAAACGTACAGAAAATAAAATTTTCAGGTAGAAAACAGGTAATGTTACTTTAAAGCTAAAGATAATCCTTTCCTGAGAAAAGTAATCACGTTGCCCTTTCTTAATTTGATTCCAGAGATTATCCTAGACAAAAACCAGTTTAGCCTTTTCTCTACTCCCTTTCCACCTTCTCCCTGAATTCCTACATCCTACCTATTCTACTTCTGAAATGGCTCTGAAAATAATTAATCCTTTCCTCTGCATTTCCACCACACAAAGCCAGTAAGTCAGCAAATGCTCCATGAATCAATGAACTACAGCAATTGCCCCCCACCTGGAATCCCTGCCCTCATGTTTACAAAACAAGCTGATGTGATGGAAGCGACTTTGAAATGGGTCAGATAGGAGAAGAAAAGGAACTAACATCTATTGAAAGGCAATTAGGTGCCAGGCATCTTGTTAGGTGCTTTCAAAAATAGAATCCCATTTAATCATTCTGAATCAGCCGTTCTCAACCTGTGGGTTGCGACTCCTTTGTAACAAAGAAAATACATCACAGCCTTAGGAAGGTTGAGAGCCACTGTCTAAATCATCACAACTTCCCTATGACATTACACAAGAGAAAACTGTTGTTCAAAGAGAAATGAAGCAAAATGACATAAAACAGCCATAAATAAAAAACAATTCAAAATCATGTACAGGCAAGTCTTATTCCAAAGCCCATGTTCTTTTCATAACTATGCCTTCTTAACAATAAGATACTTTAAAATTATAGGTTCCAATTACATCTTTTTAGACATAAGTTATTTCTTTCAGACCGCACCTCAAACAACACTTCATCTTGAAGCCCCAAATCGGAAGTAATCCCTTCTTCCACTAGACTCCAACAGCCATTTCCCCTCCACTTATTCCTCTATAGATCTATCTTGACTACATCTGTGAGTTTTATGACTTCTCTTATGACACATTATCACTCTATTTTCTATTAATCACCTTCGCATAGTATTAGCTCTTCCTGAACCATGAGCTCTTTCAGGTAAAATCTATTAGATCTTTATACCCAGCTCAGTACCAGCACTCATGAAAAAATGTATTACTTGAATAGAAAGTATTCCTTAGTCTAGGATAGCATTTAAAAGGGTACCAGCCCAGTCTCATGCTTGCACTAAATGTTTTCTAGTGTATGACTGACTGATACAGAGTTTCCCTGTTCAGAGCTGGGCAGGGACCCTCACTTTCTAGGCACGGGCAACAAGCCTTTCTAGACCACATTCTGTGGACTCACACAAGATCAAAGAAAAAGCAGCCTGATCAGTATCTCACCTAGAGATACTGGAGTGGAAAACATACACCTCAAGGCCTCTCTTGGGAGAGAGACTGTGAAGACTGGAATAATTTGCTAATCAACACGGGCAGAATGTTTTCTGTCTGCCAGCTCCCAGCCAAGTGTGATATACATTCCCAAGACCCCCCTGCTCACAGGCAGTATGTGAACCCCTAGACAAAAGGCCCAAGGGGGCTTCCCACTTGGGTCCCCCCTCCACTGCCCGAGGTTCTCCGGCCCTTCTCTCCTTCTCTATTCCTTTCTCTGTCAATATCCTTTTGCTTAAGTGTGTGGTCCATGAGTTCATTCTTTGAATCTCTGACAACAAGGGCTCGGCATAGAAATTTCCACAATGTGATGGTTAGTTAATTTGCTAATTCTATTATTAGGTGACACCCATATGGCTCAGCAATCCGTACCCTACTGATCAACCAAAGGCAGACAATGTACCTTTGACAAGATGTTTGGGAAGAGAAAATATTCAGTTCTGGTGGACTCCTAAATAAAAATCCAGTTTTCCTGGGAAGGAGTGGAGGTGAGGGTAAATAACCTTTTTTATGAACAATCATGAACAACAATCATGAACAATCATGTTCAATGATTATGGGAAAACATTATAGATCAGAAATCAAGTTTCTAAAACAAATTTTACACTGTGGCAAATCACAAATTTAGTCAAAAATCATCTTCTGTTCTGAACATACATGTTTGTTTAAAAGAAAGCTTTGCCACATTGACAGTGGAGGACAATCTTAGATCACCATCTGCTTTGACTACTCAGAGATCTCTCAAAGCTTTCAAAAGCAGAATGACAGAAGCTGTGAGTGGCTGTGTAGCACATCAAATGTTCCCGCATGACTGACTTACTAAGTAGTGAGAAGCCAGAGAGCCTAAATAACAAGTCATCTTCAAAGGGCAAAATCCTCAATTAACAGCAAAATGGCAATAAAGAGACTACAGTTTTTACTTCCATGATTCTTTAAATTTAACTTATAAAATGGATATTCTAGAAAGCTTAATGATTAATCAGCAAATTTTCATACATAACATTAAAAGCTTTAAGAAGTTAGGAATAAAAATAAACAGATTATTGTGAGTTTATAAATACTTGTACCTATTGAATTGGAAATTTTACAAAAATACAGAAAGTGGGGAGACCTTATTTTGGAAAGCAGTTGGATCCCTCCTAGTCTAAGTCACCCCGAGGCACCGCAGTAGGGCAGAATTGGCTCTGGCTCTCTCTAGGTTCTTACTAAGAGCAACACCCAGGTAGCAGGATTGTCATAAGTTCCAGGCTGTGAAGACAGAGGAATCTGGAAAAGAACCTCCAGGCTCCGCCACTTCACAGGGTGCGACTTCAACTCTCAATTTTCCTAATCTATATAGACATTAGCATTAATACATTAAGTTGCTGTGAAGATTAAATTAAATCAAAGCAGAGTGCCTGTTGCAGCCTCTGTTCTCAATAGATATTAGCTGTTATTGGTAAGAAAAAGATAAATATTTTGGTGCCCAAATTTAAACATTGACTATGCTAATGATAAAGGCTTCTATTATCAATAGATATTAACAGAATCTTCACATAGAGGTTTAGGGAGGAAAAAAGACTCACTGAACTATTTAATTAAATTTCTAGTCACCAGCTGAAAATGTCCTCCCTTCTTCCAACTCCCATCTACAACTCTGACAAACTATTCATGCAAACTTGGCTCAAATGTCACTGCCTTCCCACAAGCACCCAGGCAAAGGCTATCGCTTCCTCAGAAGCACGCACAGCTGCAGTTTGTACCGTGCTGTACATTTCTTGTTGCAGTAGAAATTTTGCATTTATTACTTCTGAACTATCAATACCCTGAGGGCAGGGACTGGGGTGTGGACGCAGCATGCCCATTCAGCATTAGACATTTACCCATAAGAGGTGCTCAATAATCTTTACTTGAATAAAAGAGAAAATAAGTAGATAGCTAAAAGGATGAACGAATAAATATACTTCAAGAGATATTAATTTATCAAGATTAAAGAACTTCAAAAACTGCCAAATAACTGTAAGTTCACATTGCTATACTATTTTGCTCTTCTTGATGGCTTTTCATGCTTCCCTATAACAACAAAGACTGAACCAGAATTCAAATGATGCCCTCTACAGAGTATAGTGGACATACCAAAACATTATAAATTAATACATTTTTACTTTCAAAACTCTGCTCAGTATACTGGGGCGGGCTGTCTAAGGCTTCAAGGAAAGTGGAAAATAAAATACTCCATTTAATTTTATCCAATTTTTAAATCTGAGGTTGTAATTTACATATAGTGAATGTACAGATCTTGGGTCTACAGTTTGAAGACTGGTTTTGGCAAATGGCTACATGTATATATGTAACCTGCACTCCTAGCAAAATAAAGAACATTTCTATCAGTCCGTAGTATTCCCACTCACCCCTTCCCAGTCAATGTTCTTCCCCTCCCTTCACACCCAGAAGCAGCTACTGATCTGAGTTTTGTCACCATAGATTACCTTTAGCTATTCTATAACTTTACATAAACGGAATCATACAGTATAAAGTGTTTCATGCCTGCCTCCTTCCATGTCTTTTAATGCCTGTGAGAGTCACCCCTGCCATTAGACGTATCAGTAGTTTGTTCCTTTTTATGGCTGAGTAGTGTTTAACATGGGTGTCCAAACCTTTTTCTTTTCTGCTGCACATTGGAAGAATAAGTTTTCTTGGGTCACACATTAAATATACACAAACACTAACAAAAGCTGGAGAGTAAAATAAGGTTCGTCCATACTTTTCAGGATACTTGATGCCAAAGGTAAGCAAAAAAAAAAAAGCCCCCACAAAATGAGCATGTGGCCCATGGGGCCACAGGTTGGACACCTGTCTAGTGTATGGCCCAGATTGTTTACCTAGGTTCTTGTTGATAGACATTAGGACAACACTGTGATATAATAAGAAATACATATTTGATCTCTGCCTACAGTTCCCAGCATAGAGACCCCCAAATCATTGTAACTTCCTGAGTGAGATGGGTGCCAGGTTCATCTTTGCCCCCAGTTCCTGACATACAGCTCCTGATCCTCTGGGATTTCCTGGGTACTAGGAGTATCTTTTGTTCTAATGAGGTTACTCTTGGTGGGCTCCTCAATGGCGTGGGTTACCAGAAAGACCATGACACGATTAGAAACTTAGAACTTTCAGTTCCATTCCCCTATCTTCCAGGAAGGAGAAAGGGGCAAGAAATTTTGTTAATAATTGATCATACCCACATGATGAAGCCTCCATAAAAATTCTAAGGGCTCAGAGAGCTTGTAGGTTGATGAACACACCCAGAGAGAGGGCCAAGAAGCTCTGCACCCTTTCCACATACTTAGCCCAAAGTTCTGCTTCATCTGGCTGCATCCTTTCAGCCATCTGAATCCTTTAAAATACTCTTTTGAATAAACTGATAAACATAAGTGTTTCCCTATGTTCTGTGGGCTGCAATAGCGAATTACCAAACCTAAGAAGGGGACTG